CTCCAAAATATAAATTGTTATTAACCGCCCCTCTACGTGGAAAAACGCCCACACGGGGGCGAAATCGCTCCCGTTGAGAAACATTGATCTTGATCGAAATGTTCGGTGCGAACGGGCTATTAAAATAAGTTGGCTCCGGGTGCTGTACGTGTTTGGCCGGAAAGTCTTTTAATTAATTAAAGGTTCATTTATTTTTTAACCATTTTGGCGGTTTGCATTATCTGGTCAAAGCTGACGTGGCGATTTCGGCCGGTTTCGTTACCGACGAATGGGTTCCTACTGTTTATCGAGCCATAAATTTACCGTAACTGGCGTGCAGGACTCGATCCGAGAGTACAGTACAACCATTACCGTCGACCTCCGAAATCTGCATTGGCGCATTCGGCGGATTTTATGGCGAAAGACGAGTGCCGACCCCGGGCCAGAGGAACGGCAGCCGTCTAAGGATTGTAAGTTCTTTTTCCGGACCGAAGCCGCCAGGTCTCGCGTCTCGGTGGTTTCCCGGAGAGCAACGGGTGGCATCTTTCCAGAAATGCATGCTGACCGAATTGACATGATTCTCGTCACGTGATACGCGTCCGCTTTCCACCGCGCCGCTCCGCCAAGAAAACCAGCTTAAGCGATGGCGTCTTCCAACGGTTCGCACTCTGTAAGTTTTTCTACAATTTTTCCCTTATAACTTATTTTATACCGATCATTGTCAAAAAGTTATACGTGTTTTGGAAATTTTCGAGTCAAGTTGATTGATTTTATGAAAGAAAACCTCTCGAACTGCTGTACCCTCTACACTGCGTAAGTTCCCTAAGTGCGAGAGTATTGGGAATGGCCTAATCGTAATTCGGGTACAAAGTATTCGATATTCCAAACTTCCAGCAATTTCCAATATTTTTCCCATCCAAAATTTTTGACAAGATCGTAAGCAAACTTAGAAAGAGTGCGCTGGTAAAGTGGAACGAGTTAAACGAGAATGACGTCGTCGTTATTCTTATTTCGTTAGACTTTTCGACCGATTCGTTTCTAAAATCCAAGATACGAATGTTTCTAGTGCATTTTCCTTAGATAGCTTCGGGTGGACAGTTATTTCCATCGTTTCACCTTTTATTGCGCAGTTTAAACACTCGAATAGATTTAGAAACGTGCATATCGTCGGGCGCCATTTTCTTAACGAAGCCAACTAACTCTTTTCTTCGTGAACTTCGTTAGAGTTTCGTTCGAAACGTCGTCGCCGCAGAGCTAACGCGTTTAACTTGTTCGACTTTACCAGCGTATCCAGTTTAATCGATATACAAATCAATCCCGGTAGGCATCGTTTTCGAGTAGCGCGTGGCCTACCTACTATAGTTGCTCGTTTATATTTACGGCTGGCAGATGGAGCCAGTTTCGAATGTAGGGTCGAGGTCTATAAACGTAAGGTGTAGACACGATACCGCGATGCGTGGCGGCAGTCGCCATTTTGGATCCTTTTGGAATTATGTGTACAGAATTGCTAGAGCCAAGCCGATCGTTTCTTTCGATCCGAATTCGTTGGATTTCTTGTTATTTACATATACTTTTAAAATGGTTTGATGTTCGGCACCGAATTGTAAACATTCCGCATCCAAAAGTATAAGATTGTTTCGTTTCTCTCTGATAGATTCGGGAGAATGATGATTTGAGACTTAATATAAGTAATGGTTTATTAATGATTATATACGGAGAAACCAGATTTACTAAAATTCAATAGTAACGAAAACATTTATATTAATTAAATTATTATTAATATTTATTAATTATTGGGAATATTTCTGCCGTATGAGATTTGTAATATAATAATACGCCATTACTGGCTTAGAAGACTACGGTAAATTATTTTGTTCTTTTAGTCGATGTTTTCCTTTATCGAGAAGAACGGCCGTAAAGATTGCTCGAATAAGAAACAATCGACTGAAATTTAATGCATATTTTATAATTATTATGGCTTTTATAAATTCATAGTTTGATACAAATGATGCTATTTGCTGCATACACCGTCGTTCGGTGCGAACGTGTTGCATTTTCTGAACTAACTTTTAGTCAAATTGGAAAATACAGTATTAGTTACTAATAGAGATTTCTTTTAAATATTTCGCATTGTTAGATGAAAACAAAAATCCAGTATATAAACTGCTTTAATATTTTCCACTTATTATAAAATGCTGGCGATACGCATCATTTAAGCGCTTTTAATTAACCCTGTTTAAATTACACTAAAACGTGGTCTCGGATGGGTACTAGTCTATAAGCTGTTTGATCGACGGGTTGTACGACAACATTACGCAACTTATTAAACAGAATAACAGAAACATTACAATAATGATTTATTAAACAGAATAAATGTTATAATATGTTGTTTGTGGTCTGAAAACACACTTTAAAACTTAAAATAAAATATAGTAATCAAAGTTAACACTTTCAGCCATTTAAAGTAATACAGTGGAACCTCGCTTAACCAGCGTAATTCGGTTCAGAATCTTACTCGTAATGCGAAGCACTCGTTAATCGAAACAGTTTTCCCATAGAAATTAATGTAAAATACGATAATGCTTTTCGTGCCGAAAAAATACTCAAATATTTTATTTATAACGTTTATTCAAAGAAAATTATATAATGTACATTGTTAAGGAGCGTCAATCATCTTCATCTTTTCTTCTAGCGCGGAATGCCAATTCGATTTGCGAGAAACAAATAAAACCAGAAAAAGAATCAGATAATATGTGTGATGAACGCGCCAAACGATACGCAAATTGTCGGGCCATGTAAAGGCTGTAATTCAATATCAGAAATTAATTACGCTGCCATCTCGTATTAAATTTTAGAAATGTCTAAATTAAAAATTATTTATTTACAATTATAATTGCCTACCTCTAGTCAAATTAATTAATTTCTAATACAGTAGAGCGTCGTTTATCCGAATCAATTGGGGACTGGGTTGTTCGGATAACCGATTATGTACCAAAAAATATATTAATCTATCCCATGTTGAAATTTTTCTCCGTTGCGTGTGGCTTCGCCTTGAATTTTCGTCGATGTTAAGCCTAACGTAAACTTTTTAAAATAATAATCGTGGCTATTGTATCGTTAAAAATTATTTCTTTATTTTTTACAANTTTTTGATACTAAATTAACTTCTGAAGTATATTTTTTTATAGTTCTTATATTTTTCAATATATTTATTATGTTTGTATAAAATAAAAAAAAATAATTTTTAACGATATAATAGTCTTCGTTAGGCTTAACAACGACGAAAATTCAACGCGAAGCGACACGCAACGGAGAAAAATTTCAACACGGGATAGGTTAATATATTTTTCGTACATAATCGGTTATCCGAAAATAAGTTATCCGAACGATCCAGTTTTCAATTGATTTGGATAAACGATTCTCTACTGTATTAGTGGCGGAGTGGAAGCGTTGTATCTTCGGCCTCCAAAAGGCTAGATTCGCGCACGCGCTTTACACAGCACCAACCTCATCCGGTTTAGCCGGTGGAAGCTTAGGACCTGGGGTGGACCTACGCGTATGCCGCATCCAATTCCATCCGGGCCGTTAGCCGCCCGCTGGCTAGATATTTGGCCGCCCTCGCCCGATTACGCGAATCGCGACGAGATTTATAACTTAACCCAACCGATAAGAATTTACCGGTACGTTTTTACCATAGTTGCGTATAGTTGACGGGAGTTAAAAAATCCATTAAAATATTTGATATTTTTATTCCGCTCTCCGATTTTATATTACTGACAGATTTCGATGTTAAACCAATTTTGTATATCCCATCTTTAAGGGGATGTAGAAAAAAACGTGTACAATTCTTGTACAATGTTAAAAAATTAACCGTTACTTTGGCAGCGTCATTTACGACTAAATTGAATGAACGAGAGAGATGCACCAGCGTAAAATCGAAAGAATTTTACATAGGTTATTGCAGGTTTTTCTAATCCATTTATCTTTCTCTGTGGGTCGAGGGATGCCGCCGCCCGTTACCACTACGTATTTTAAGTCGTTCTAAATATTAGTTGTATAGGGTTTTAAAAAGTAACCCGAAAGACCGTTGGACACCGTGGGCCACGGTTTAAGCTTCTCCGTTTAGCGGCACGGCGGTTTCCGTAGAAAAGAGTTTATAGTTAGGTAAAGTCGGTAAACGGGTGATGAAGATAACGGAAGAAGCGCCGGCGGTTACTTTTATTTCTCCCCACTTGGAATAGCCGGAATTTACCAGTTGGTTGCGGCGATTTTAAGTAACGGTAAAGAAATCGGTCCGGCCATCGTCCGATTGACGGGAAAATCGAAAACCAAATGGGCGGATCTACATAGGGACTAATAGGGCTTATGCCTCGGGCACCCACAAAAATGAAATTACTATCATAAACTTTTAATACTTTTTCGTTAACAATGAGCACTAATGGTATTGTAAAAAATAGCTAATACAGTAGTCTATAATACTAAAAATTATCATCATTAATATTTGTTTTATTGTAATCGATGTAAAGATTCCTTTATTTCTTATTTTTTTTTTAAATAAGATATGAAGTTTGTCATTCAACACCGTTTCATAAATATATTTCAACTCTGATTTTGATGTTATTAAAAACGAATCTTAAACCCCAATTTAAAGATTTTTAAAATGGGGCCCCGTTGGACTTCGACGAGCTCTAGGCCCCGAAAACCTAGATTCGCCCCCGGTGCCATCCTCGTCGGCTTAATATAACGCGTGGCTGAAAAAATAATTGGTGTGGGAGTGGGTACCCGCCAGGATGGGAACGTCGCCCGACGCGTCATTAAGCTTCGGCCGCGGAGTGGGCCCGCTAGTTTCGAATAAACGACGACTTCCGACACCTTTCTGTCCGCTCTAACCGAAGCCACGGTCGGGACGAGAGTGTGGAGGGGGAAGAAACCGGCCTTTACGGCCGAGCGCAGGTGGTGCGAATTCCGAGCGGGTGAGTGATCTCCCCGGCGCCGAATAAAAGAGACGGCCGGGATCGGGCCGTCGACTCGTTCCTCCGTACAATTCGAGGTAAGAATCTCCGTCCTTTCCCCTCCGTTCCCGCTCCAACGCCTTTTTCCGGCAACCGCGCTTTGGGAATCGGCCGGAGTCCCTTCTCTTCCGTCTTCCTTGGCCGGGAGGGATAGGGGGAGCCGGAAAAGAGCGGAGTCTAACCACTTTTTCTCGGCAGATGGTCTCCGTCGGTCGTCGTTGGATCTGGGCCCTTCTGGCCTCCTTGTTGCTACTCCACACCCTGGCAGGTAAGTACTCCTCTTCTCTTCCCGAAGGGCCCTATCCCGGAAAGACAATAACCCGGGTGGGTATTTTTTCAGAGGCCGGAAGAGGCAAGGAGATAATGAGCAAAATCAAGAAAAAGCTAGCCGATGGTATTTATTTTCCTTCTTATCTCTACGTTCTTACTCTTATCAATTTCTGTTCATATTCGTCTACTCCGACCTTGTTTATTAATAGGACCTTAATAGCTTATACCGGTGTATTTTCCGAATGGCAAAGAGAGGAGTTTTTAGTCGAAAGTCAAAACAAAATAAAAATAAAGATACTTTGTTGTTCCGTTCCGTCCTGTTAATAAACGAGGTCCGAGTAGACGAAGATACAAACAGAAATTGCTATTTATTTCCGTTGGCGCCCGCTTCTTCCGCCCGGACCGTCTCCGGCCTCCCCTCCGCCGAAGCGGGAGAAAAGGAGGCTAGGGGAGAATTAGCGTCCGGTCTCTTCCGCTCTTTTCCCGTTTCGGCAATTCCGTGGAAATTGTTTCGTCGGTGGCCGCTGGATTCGGGCCCTCCGTAGAAATTAGCCGTGGTCGGGCATTTTTAAACAGGCAAAAAGAAGGCCGCCTCCCGCTTACTCCGTGGTCCGTCTTCAAACGCGGTAAACGTCGACTCGGACGGAAGGCTCCGAAACGGGCGATTACAATTAAAACCTGGTAGAATTGTTTGTAACCGGGCCCAAAAGTCTGGGGTGCGGCCCCGCGTCGGATGCTTCGGCGTTAGAACCGGGAAGAACGAGACGGAACAAAAAGGCGGAGTTCGCCTTAGGCCCGAAACTAGCCGGCGCGGAAGAACGAGCCAACGGAGTAGATCGGGGGCCCCCTAGACCCACGTCGGTCCACGCCTCCGGCATTTTCGTCGACCGTTTCCTCCGGAGTTTCGCACCCGCCGACGACTCCGTCGGACGCCCGGGTTGAGACTTCGGACCACNATGTGAGATATTTTCTGTTTAATTTTAATTTAAACTTTCTTGGGTTTGAGAGGCACTGTAAATTGTACAGAAAGCTCTAGTTATATATTTTTGCTCTGCCGTTTTTTGAGATTTTTAATTAAAGATTTATAATCTTTACAATCAACGTTTTTCTTAAAGAGTAAGTAAATATCTCTTTTTTAATATTTAAAAATAATAATAATACGTAAATATTTCACGTATTTTTTAAATTAATAGCAATTTTGAATACACTACATTATGACAGGACATTAATGCAATATTATTGCAAAATAACATTAAAATTTGTACCTTAAATAAATTTTTTACTTCTAAAACTGTGTAAAATATTTAAATACAAATATTTATTACAATATTCTAACATTATGCCTTAAGATTGTGCAAATATGTATTATTCTAATCTTATTTTCGTGGGGAATCCCTATTACTCTTACAAAAAAAACTTTCTTTAATTTTAGATTTTAGAACCAGGTGGAATAGCTTACTAAACATGCTGAAAAGATTTTTATTACTTAAAGATGCTGTCCGAAAAAGTCTAGAAACCTAACCTAACCTAATCTGGATGTGGCTGGATGGCCAAGTGGTCAAAATGGCAGTCTATCGCTCTGGGGGACCCGGGTTCGAATCCGAACGGGTCGAAAAATCCCAGGAACTTTTCCGGGGGTGGCTCGTACGGATATGTCGGTCCGCGTCCCTCACAACCAGACAGCGCCATTGCAGACCTGGCCGAACCCATAATGGGCTTGCAAAAAGAGGCTCACATGGCGGAAAGAGTTAAAAAAAAATTAGATCGAAATTAGGAGATAAGACTTTAAATAATTTAAGTTTCTTGAGAAGTTATTTTTTAAAAAATGGTAAACAATAAGATGATACTATATATTATTTCTGTTTTATTTTTATTTTCTGTATTATTTTATTTATGTTTCTAAAAGTTATTATTATAGTTTGTTTTGAATAACACTTTAATTTTTATATTTTTTATATCCTATACCTTTGAAATAAAAAAAAGTGAAATGGAAATCAAAATTACTTATATTTTTTATCACCATAATTTTATTTTTCAAGAAAAATATTTACCGGTAATTTACCGGTAAACCGGTATTTTAATTTTCATTAACCGAATTATCGGTAAATGAAAAAGTCGGTAAATTTACAATCCCTAGTAGTGACCGTACGCACGTCGTTCCGAGGGATCCTATCTTTCTCTACCTCCTTCCTTCGTCCCTTTCTCTTTTTTCCGCCGGTTAAACACTCCGCATACGGCCGAAGTCTTTCGTTTAAGTGTCAAAGAACGCTGTCGGACTTAATATAAAAAGAGAAAGGAGACCACGGCCCGACCTTGTCGATTTTAATTTAGAAAATCGCAATTTTCCTGGCTTTACCCAAAAATAAACGCGTTCTTTTCTCGAATAGGGTCGCTCCCGCTCGGGGTCCACCGGACTTTCCGGTAAGAGCCAAAGGAACGACATTGAACAGTCGTCTACGTAAGTGTGTGAATAACGGGTGAGATAGAAAATGACGCGACGGATTCTTTTATCGTATAGATCTATTGAAATGAAAATACAGTCATCTATTACAGTGCGTGCGTTCCAAAAATATAGATGATATTTAAAAAATGAAAACATATAGATTAAGTATTTTTGAACAATGCGAGTGGTTATTATTGTTTATTTACAGTGCAGTACAATGTTATATAATTGTTTTTACAATATTTGACAGTTACATAAAGTTTTAAACACGGAATAGTTATTTTGTCATATCCCAAAAACAGTCTATAGATAAGTTCGAACTTTGAGCAATAGTTGAAAACATAAATTGATCAAAATTGTTCTAACATTAAATAGAACTGCCATTATAGTTAATCTGTTCAAAAATGCAATTAGACACTGGTTTAATTAAATCTTGAAAGATTCATTTAAAATCGGCGCTCCGCGACTTCTTGTTTGAGCTCCGAAACCGTGGTAAAATGCCTATTATTAGCATAAATCTTTCCAGCAAGAATGATTCGCAAGTTCTGGACAGGATTGTCCGGGCACTTTATTGCTCGAATATTACGATCTTGTAATCATTAGTTGTTGAGCGTGAACAATGAATACTGGATCGTCCTCTTGGAAAATCCAATCGGGTTCTCCAATTTTTTCTCCAATACGTAATAAATTATTTTTAAATGACTTTTAGATGTCCGAGTTAAATCACTAAATTTGATAAACCATTAAATCCGAAGCAGCCCACACCGTAACAGAACCACCACCCCGTTAACTGCCGAAAAACTGCAATCTTCTGTCCTAATATCGTGCCCGTAATTAGGCCATACAAATTAAATTTCTTCGCATCACTGAAAAGGACTGAGTGCTTCTGGTCATTCCTCAGCGCGCCATCTTTAGCCCACTGCATTCTTGTCGTTTTGTTAGCGATGGTTTTTCATCCAGGCACGAAATTTCACATGGAGCTGCTGAAATTCTTCGGTGAACTGTACTTTTTGATATTTTTAATCCACTGTCACACAAAATTTGTCGGACTGATTTATCCCGTTGCGAATGTCCCTTTGAAATATGATTTTCGGCCTTCCCGATTTATGTTTAGAAGGTATCGGTGATGATTTTTTGAAAATTTTATAAGTTCCAGGCGTAGATCTGTTCATTGAAACATCAATTTCCTCGACACCGCAGCCTTCTGTTTTTAATTTCCAATATTGATGCAATTTCTTCCATACTAAACTCTCTTCCACGTGGAATATTGGATAGGTTCGATTCAGTATTTAAATTAGGCCTACTACTCGACAACGAAGCCAAAGTGTTACGTAATGTCGTTTATTTTTATTTTTATAATTTTAAGTTTCTTATGCTTGAAATTTTGCAATTCTGTTTTAAATATATTTTTGTTGTCAAATATTAATACGATGATCTTTAATTTTGACATTATCAAATATCAGCGTAAAGTAATTTGAATATACAAATAAAATCGTTTACATTTCTCTTAAATTCCTAACAATTGTGAAAAACAATAAAATGTTAATTACATACAGTATATTCATGGAACACACCGAACGTAAAGCAGAAAATTTGACAAGTGCGTAGATATAGGCCTAAACGGTGGAATAAAAAGAAATAAATTAAAATCTTGGCCGACGGTATTTACATTTTAAAGCTTCCAGTAACCAGTTGCTCAACTTTCCCGGCAACATCTGATGGCGCCATTTATTATATTTTAAACTATTAGCTTATATAATGGGAAAAAGGTTTAATTTTCAAGGTAGGAATGGGTTATATAAAAAATTGTTAATGCCAATAACCAGTAAAATCGTTACGAAGTCCGACCCTACTGCGGATACACACCACCTATTATCTCTCCAACCCTTCGACCTTTAATCACCAAATTTTAATAGCATCGATCCCGTAATAAACACTTTGCAAAATTTCAGAAATTTTTGGCAAAAAACACACAAGTTATTAAGCATCAAACGAGGTGAGCAAAATCGTGCAACCCACCCACACTAACATTTATACATATAGAAATTACTCCCGAATCTTTTGCATTTCTCGACGTTTCCAGGTGTCCTTTCTCGAAAAATGTAAAAATCTGGAGGGTGATCGTTTACCGGATCGCCGTACTTTTCATCAGTGTAACAGTCGGGAAAGTACAAGTTTAAAATATCACCAATATATAAAGAGCTTTGTTTTCGTTTCCCTTTACCGTCGTTTCAACACGTCAGCGACGGTCCAAAATAATTTCCGCATACGCAGACGGCGGAAGATTTACCATGGGAAAAAATATATAGCCTATAAAGCAGTATGCTAGATTCCAGCCGAATATTTGAAAACAACAAATTCCAGTCAATGTTTTTTCCCGTCGATTCTTACCGAAATTAACCGAGACCAGCAAAAATATTAACTAATAAAAGTCTAAACTGTAGCAATTACGAGTTACTGCTCGGCCTCAAATCTCGAGAGATCACCGTTAACACCTCTCTTATCTTCGCGGATTTCCCACCTTTCGGTACCGAGATTTCGTCCATTCTCGACCGGAAAGAAAAGGATCAAAAAAGTTTTCGATTTGATTTAAACGATACGGTCGAAGTTAACCCGCCTCTGGTACCGAAAGGCGACCAAACATATTTCTCCGGACCCGTTTATACGTTACCGTAACCGCGGTGACGTCGAGAAAGCGAAATTCACGCGCTTCCGTTAAAGATTGCTTGGCACTGTACGTATTCCGTTACGGCGTTACCTCGGCAACGTCAAATTCCGGTGCCGCTCTTACGGCCGCGGAGTCTATTTTTGTCGGGCCGGAAGAATATTGCCATCGGGCAGCCGACGGCGTAACAATATTTTGAAAACGTCACCGATACGGTAACCGAGACCTCCGGATAGCGGATAGGTTCGGATGTCGACTGGCCGCTGTGGGAACGCAATAACCAATCCGGGTCGAATCCCGAGAATTTTTCTCGAGTGGACCCTCCCGGATACATCGAACTCCGTCTCCGGCCGTCCGATCGACCCGTAGAGGACGACCGAATTTGATTTTAAAAGGCCCTTTAGAGCTACGAACTGGAGTAAATTTATTGACGAGAAATATATTCAAAACGGAGAAGCTATCGGTCCCTTTACCGAAAAGCGGAGCGAGATAAAATAATAACAGAATTAGACGAAACTTCTCTTCCACTTACTTTTAAGCGAATAAGGAAAAATTTCATTACTTAAAACTTGGAATTGTAAAGCTATAAAAATTGTTCAAACCCCTGCGAATAGAATTAGGTTAACACAGAAAATAGAAAATAAAGAAGTTATTCGAATGGCAAAAAATGAAATTAAAAAAGTAAACTTATCGGAATTAAGCGAAACGTCGAGAATACTTAGTCAAGCTGAATGGAAATAGCATTTAAAGTATTATCTGGTTGAAAC